CAACAAAGAACCAGCAGACAAGATATTTGAACTGAGGCAATCCCACGTGGTGGCAGCCCTTTGGTGCACCCATGCAATATACAAGACCCATAACTGAAGCCAAGCAAATTTCTTTTCTACAGCCTTTCACACCTATTGGATCAAACCATCAACTTCCAAGAATTTTTAGATTATGTGCTCTCAATCCATCTTTTTGTTTTTAACTAGCTTCTATTGTACTTCAATTAGTTCCTTAAACACAACAATGTATCTTATTCATATTTCTGTCCATTTAATTAAGTCTATTTATGATTATTTATAGAAGTTTAAATAGTTACCATTTACATTTCTGTATATTCCTATCCAAAAGCCACTTGTCTTGCTTGTGTATAAGTCTGCATGCTCTAATAAAAAGTTTGATTCAGCCAGATCTTCTACAGAAGTCAACATACCACCTACAAGAAAAACAACAGAAGATGATTGGAGGTATCCCCTGCCATGGAAGTCAGTTGTAGTTACAGCCTTTGATATGGGATGAGATCAATAATAAAACCTCTCCTGCTGTTAGGGAGTAAGCAAGGATTTAGATAGAGACCAGAAAGTAGTGTTTAGCTGTAGGGGAACAGCACAGGCTGTAAGTGATGTCATCAGAAATGAAAGACATGAAAACACAATGAAGATGATGATTTTTAAAGAGCAGGCAAAGTGCACATTATCTTCAAGTGATTGGATAATATTTTTCATAGGTATTACAGATGATAATTTATTTGTTCTTCATGGTTTGACAGGATATTATGTAGCATGTAATATTGCACTGCAAACAAATTTGCAATTCAAACTGAAGCGTTAATTTTTCTGGCAATGGTGGTGGAGAAATAGGGCTAAGAGGATCTAAAAAGACATGAAACAACAGGACCCATTTCTTTTGGGCAGTATAGTGCTTCCCTTTCTCTTTCAAGGCCTCCTGCAGCATGGATGAGGTAGCTGATGATTCAGCAGCGTAGGTGGAAGAGGGCCAAGGAGCAGCTCATGGTCTTGGCCAGGACCAGATATCTCTGAGATGGGGGAGGGAAGCGTTTGCCCTCCCCTGGCTCTCCAGGCTGGTCCCCTGGTACAGCAAAGACTTTCAGGCAGAACATGCAACCCCATTTGGATCACATACCCCGTGTTAAAAATAAGTGATTGTTATTATGATATTAACTTCTGCTCTTGTGTAGGGAGAGATACAGAAATGAAGGGATAAGGCAGGAAAGAAGTTAACCCATTTTAAAATCTTACTAAAAAGAGAACTTTTGTGAATGAAGAAATATAACAAGAAACAAGCACAGCTGGAGAAAAACCCAAGGAAAATTGATCACCTTAGTTTCAACAAAGGTGAAAAGCAGACAGCATCAATGGTGAAAAATAAATGAGACATTGATTTCCTTTTTTGAATATGTGTAGGTTTTGCAGCATTGGTTTTGAAGACTTTTTTAAAGTGATTTTTTTTTTTTTTAATGTCAAAATTGAAATCCTATCTTTGGGCAAGAAATAATAATTACCTGATTGAACACACTGAGTCACAGACTGAGCCCAGCTCATTTCATTGGCATTGAAATTATAGCAGTGGCTTCGGAAAGGAATCCAATATATGTGATCAGATTCAGGACATTTTCCAATATCCTGTGGGGGATCAGAAGGAAGTACATCTAGAAGAAATGAGATATTATGGATGCTTTCATTCAGTAGAGATTGCAGCTCTTCAGATATAAAATCAAGTTTAAAACCAAAACCCTTTCTTAAAGGTACTTAAAATATTCTTCAGCACACAGTGCTAGAATTATTAGTGACTATGTCGAGTGACAATGAGGAGCAGAATGCTCAGTCACAGCTGAATGATTCAATGTGAGCCTGCGCTCTTCTGTGTTACCAACTAAATCAAACTTGGACTGTCTCAAGGATATTTGAGTGTTGAGGGGTTTTTTGTTCTAGTTTATTTTGTTATAACCAACAAATTTGTATAAATAAAAGATACAGTAAAGAGCAGAAAAAGACAGAAAACTCCCAAAGCCTCAAGAGGTTCAAATAACAATTTGATTTTAAATGAAGTATCATCTAAATCATAGTTTACTGTGGAAATTTCCCATTTAACATTTTCCTCAAGATAATAATCCTTACATAAAATTTCTGAACAGCTTTAACTGACAATGCATGGAATAATCTGAAGTTCATTGGATATTTATGCAGTAGCCCCTCATTTTCCTGCAAGCAATGACACTATGGAATGAAACAGTGACACTGTCAGTTAGTACATGCATTTTTAAAACAAAAATTGCAAATGAATAGATATGAAGTTCATAGTGTGGTCTTGAAAAGAAATTAAAGAAAAACTACACAAAAACAGATCAAAAGAAACTCAGAATTTCCATTAACTCTGTGTCACTAGAGCTAACAGTAGTTGCTCTAATACAAGTGAGAAAGCAAAAAGGTTCAGTCCCATCCTAAGGTTTGCGTGTAGATTTTAATTTGTAGTATTCGTCAGTGACACCCATAGAATTGCTATGAAGTATGAACTTGTGTTTGGGGCCAGTAACAGACTTCTTTTTTTCCCAGATACAACTCCTCCTCCTTTCCCCATTTTTTAGAATCTAATAACAGTAAAGCTGTAACCAGTGTATGAACGCTGCTTATGTTGAAGGAACAAAATTTGTTTTATACTAGTGGACTTTATTGGTTACAATCCTTCCCACAAAATTCCTGCCAGCAAAAAGTTTCACATTCTAGACTCGAAGTGAAATGTTTAGTACTCCCACAATGTCTATGTTTTGTCTGCTCATGACATAGGATATCTCCTACGGCAGTTATCACCCCAGTCCAGTAAAATGGCAGTATCTTGGCTGGTGAATGGCAACTCCATCAAAATAGAACATTGTTCATGCAAAATAAAGGTATTGACATTACATACTCAGGCTTATTATTCCTTAATATATACTTAGAAAGTTGTATTTCAGTCAAAGCAGATCGAGCAAGGTTTCTGCCATAAAACCAAAAGTCATCGCCATAGCTTACCCTCAGATTTTTTGCAGACAGGAAAATGTTTTTCATTACAAGGTGCTGTTTTCCAGGTCCCGTGGAGCTCTAGATAGACACAGGCTATTTTCTGTTTTGGTTCTCCATAGTACCACTTAGAAAAACTTATTTTCCTTTTATCTGCCCATCTGTAATAGCCATAACTCTAAAATTAAAACAGACATTTGACATAATTTTTCTACACTCTCATCTGCTGTTTCAGGTAAGTGGATTTACATAAATGCACATTTTCACAGTGATATATATAGAGCTCAGTTTGTATATCTGTGCTAGTACTGTTAAAATGTTAATTGAATCAGGACTCAGCAATGTAAAAATAAGACACAGCAGTATGCCTCCCATGCTGAAAGGTGTTTTGAAGGCTAAATGGTGCTTCCCAGGTGCTGCTGGTGCTCAGTCCATTCTCGGGCAACATTGTGAGATGGAATCACCGTTCCAGAAGAGTCAGGTCACCATGAAGGGCAACATAAGCAGGGGAACATGAAATCTGTGGAAAGCTCAGGTAGAAGTGGGTCTCAGAGCTGCTTGTCAAACAAGGACTCTAAGCTCAAGTACAGTTTTGAGGAGAAACATTCAGGAGTGACCTGCAGCTATCACTATGAAAAATCTGAGAAAATTATTAGATTGTTAGGAGCAAAAGATAAATACACAGGAACAGGAAGTCTTGAGTCTTTGTTTAGACTTCCCCCCTCCCTGCCCTTTTGTATTTTTTTTTTCCAGGAAGAGTCAGAAAAAATACAAGGAAAAGGGAACAGGCCCAGGCAGTATATTGCTGACATTAAGAACTGAAGGATAAAATGTGATCCCACTCTAGTGTCTAGATGTGTCAAGGGGTCAGGTACACAAGCCCCTCCTGAGCCTGGCACCATCAGGGCAAGATTGCTGCCTGGGAAACAGGAGGAACCACAAAGCTTCACTCTGCAACAGCAGGGCCAGCTCATTTATAAGGACCAGGAGAACATGTCTGGTGACCCAAACGTGATCGTAATGGAATTTTAACTGCTTTCTAAACCATGTTTCTATGACTGTAAAAACAACCAACTTTGATATCAAGTGGACTTAAACACTATTATTTTATTTTGGATAGAGATGTCCTGTGGACTTGTGCAAGTGGGAGAATTCATGCCAAGGTTGGCCACTACCAATCACTTATGTATTCTAAGACCAAGCATTTTGTTTGGTAGGGAGAGGCACTGTTAGAATCATGGAAATACGTATTGTTCAGCAACAAGTAAATTGTCTCAGACAACATAGCCTTCTAAGAGGCTTTATCAGAGTGCTGCTGCATCACATAATCAGAAAAGTTATTTTTATACAGCATTTATTGTAAGTTCTCCCTAGGGATACTGAATTTCAGGCGTGTTTTGCTATGTTATATATCAGTGTGTAATCACAATGAGTAAAAACAACCACTAGTTAAGAAAATTATTACTGATGAAAAAGCTCTTTTTTATTATCAAGGTAGTCTAGTCAGCTCAAAGAACAATGCAATAGAAACATGATGGTTAAGTGCATTGAGCAACTGCATATTCACTAGAGAAGCTGAAGTTCATTTTGGCACTCAGTCACAGAGCTAATAAGACTGATGCTCACTCAAGTGTTCCCTTACACAGTGGTGGACCTGGATCTCCGTATTCACTTCTTCTGGTACAGTATAGCTTTTACTGCTTTTGATCTTTGGGACTTAGCAGGCATAACAAGGAGGGTGTTTGGAGGCACATGGCATTTTCTGTGAACCTTCTGAACCAAAAAGTAATGAAAAAGCTACAGCTGCCACAAGGCATGATCACAAGGCACTAGCCTTAACAACCGTGTTGGTCCCTTTGAATAGAATTCACATCTCCTAAAAATGGCCATCTAAAAGTTAACCAGGTAGTTTGACCTAAGTATCTAAGATTCCCATAGAGTTAGTAAAGAGACGCCCGCACTGTCAGAGGTTCCCATCCTTCTCCTTTGCCTAAGATGGAGTTTGATGATGGAAGATGGATGAAGTTAAATGGAGTGCTGCCCACCAGTCCTAGGTTTCTAAATCTGTTCAGGCTACAATTCTCCCTGCTGATGGTAATCCAATTATAGCATTTAACTGCACCATCTATCAATTTATTAATCTTACCACATTGCTGTTGAGTCCAATCCATAAGGGCTCTCCATATTGTGCTGCCTGCAGCATCAGGAATATATTACTGTAATAATCAAAAATGCTGGCAAGCTCTGAAGATTTCTTCTTGCAGGCTTTTCTTGCTTCTTCCCAATTCATTTTAGAAGGAATTATTAAATAGCTGCTGTTACCATAATGGATGAAATCAGAATCTGGAGCAGCTGTGGAATGAAACAGTTCAGGCTCTGTAGGAAAGAGGTATAAATTTGAGAGGAAGGGGAGAAAACAGTGAAAATTACTAGCTACCTGAATAGCAGGTATTACTTTTGAGTAACAGATGAATGTTGTGTGGCAGCACAGGGAGCAAGTAAAAGCATTTCTTATTTAAAACACAGGAGATATTTTAACAGTGACTTGGAATTATTTATAACTACAGTGTAAATAGTGTATTCAGGGATTAGGGAGAGACAGAGGATGAGCTGTACATTATCTAGACATACACTGCACCAGATGAAATTATGTGAATACTGGTCACATAGTGATCCTTCCCCCAGAGCTCTTCAGGTTCCCCTCCCACAGTGCAGGTGAAATTCCTCCCAAGCACAAGCTTGGTGCAGGATCTCCACACCACTTCAGTCTCTAAATAGGGGTGAAATTCATTCTAAGCAAAGTTTGTGGCTCTGCCGCTGCTTCTTTCTCATGTAGGATGAAGTGAAAAAGGAAACTGTAGTTGGACTTTAAATAAAATATGTGGAAGTAGAAGGCAAAGACCTAGAGCTAGTGATGGGGACAGGGAAAGGACAAAAACTGCCTTTGTGTTCAGTCAGTATCAAGAATGCCCTGGCAATTGTTTTTGCTAGTGACGCCCTTGTGCTGCTTTCTGCACTTGCACAGGACAGAGCTGTGAAGCATCTGGCCCAGCTGTGGCTTCTTCCTGTATTTTTACTTGCTGCTCAGCAGTTTCCTGTTTCTATTCCTGTGGACTCTGCAGTGTAGCTGTGCTCCGGATGTGTCTCCCACCCTGAGGATGCACAAAGAAAACTAGAACTCTTGTCCTTCTGATTATTTCTGGGCTTGTGATATGAACACATTGCTAGAGACTGATGAGCAAAATAACCAGTTTAACTGACCTTAGTTAACCCCCCGATGGAATATGTGTGAGGGTTTTTTAGTAAGGGGGGGCTTAGGTCTGGAGGTAAGAGTGGGGAAGCTGCTTTTAGTGTATTGTCTAATTAGCTAAGATACCCATGGTGGAGGTCACTGATGGATTTGTCTTTATGCTTTGTATTTGCATTTGCAAAATAATCTCATTCAGATACCTATATCTGTGCTAGCTGGGTAAAGCACAGATGGCTAAACTTTTCTCTCAATGGAGAAAAAAGGCATTTTGAAGGCATAGCTCTTCTAACCTCTTCTGGGCATTTGCCTCAGGATGAGGCAGGTGAATCCTGCCTTCAAAGTGTCTATTCGTCATGGTTGGGCAACTGATTTAAGTGTAGATATTTGCAAGGTAGGTGAAGTCAGCCTCTGTGAATGTTGGTGGGTATACTGGTAGGGGAGATGCTGTAAAGCCAAAACTATTTTATAATCCTTATCCCAGAGCAGGGTTTGTGTCTGGAATTTCTGAGCTGGGAAAGTAGCTCTGCTTCGCTCACGCCAGCTGCTACAGGTGCAGCTGGGCAACTACAACTGAGGACTCATACGGTCAGATTGTTCAGTAAATGTCTTCCAAAAAAAAAAAGTGAAAAATAAAACATACTGCTGTCCATCTGGCAAATATAGCTTTTGTTATGCTGGCAGTCAGTGTTTTCCCAGTACCCTGCTTCTTCTACAGATCTTTTTGTCATTGCAATACAGTCAGTCTAGGGAAAAATTAAAAAAGAAAATTATAGCTGATAAAGTAGAAAATGTCTGGCAAAATAATAGAAATAGGTTTGAGGAGACAAAGTTTATAGCTTTCTTTTCTAATTTTCTGACTCATTTTCATTTATTGTTTCTTGGAAATGGGACATATTATATTATATATCTTAAGCAAATGTACTTTGCTTGGCAGATTACTGCAAGAACTTTTGTCAGTTTATTAAAATTTCTTGGAGTGCACCAAAACTATTTTTATTATGTAGGTTATGGTAATCTGTACTGAATTTGTTGAACTTTCATTTGGATTCATGCTGTACAAGGAGAAACAAATTAAAAATCCCAGCTAGTAATACTGAAAATTTTCAGTAAAATCTAATAATTCTAATACTTTTAATTAATTCTATCAGTAATTATAATACAGCATTCCTTTTCTGCAGTTCTAGACTTCTACAAAGGAATGACAGTAAGTGTAGACTCTAAACAGGCCTATTAATCTCTGGGTACAGCTTTAAAATCTTGATTTCTGAAATATTCAGTTCCCTTCTGCTTTAAGGCATTGAAATATAGGATCCTAGCTGAGACAGAAGTCAGGCTGGTTACTCTAACCTTGAGTTACGCATTTTCTGACTTTCTTCTGTTTACCTGTACTGTAATATACTTCCTGTCAACTTCTATGTATTTATCTCTAAATGGGAATTGTCTTGCCCACTTTGAATAGTCAAAAAAGCTTCCATCTGTCCAAAGGTATACACTCTCACTGTTAATGTCATTCAGTCCGATCCATGTTTCATTGGCAACATCCTTTAGGTGGAAGGTGAAGAAGGCTATTTAAAAAGAGAGAGAGAGAGAGTAGCTGAGGAGTTGCCTTTCTTCAAATTCAGTGTAAACCAAATGCCACATAAAACAAGTAATCAACTTTTTAAAATACTGGAAATATCAAGTTCAGTATTGTTAGACTGTGAGTTAAAAGAGAAAAATTACAACGGGTAATTGAACTGAAGCAGTTTGATTTCATTAAAAAAAAAAGGAAAAGTTTTTTAGATAAAAATGATGTAGACTTCTTGGAAATATTATAGAAATCAGGGATAGAAGGGACTTCAAAAGGATTGATCAGTCTTCCCCAAGGTGGCATCAATGACACATATGTCATTTCTGATGGATGTTTGTTTACTAACTTGAATACCTGTGGGCATTTCATTGCTATGAACTACTACTGTTTGTCCTATCTTCCAAGGCCATGGGGAAGAGATTATGCTGTTCCCTCCACATGACACTTTTGCCAAGAGATGGGAAGTGTCATAATATCTGACTCCAGTCTTCTCTCTGGATTAAGCAGCTCCAGGTCTTCCTTCACAGGTTATGCGATTTAGATCTGGAGGATAGTCTGGCCTTGTCATTAGATGGTGAAATGTGCTGGCTTCATACTTAGCGCCAAAAGGTTCAGATGTCATACCTTGCACTGGCTCATTGTGTATAGAGGCCAAATTTCCCCCTAACTCTATACAAGCACTTCTTGCGGAGTGCCAAGTCAGTCTCTCTTCTTCTCTGGATCCAAATATTTTGTAACACTGTGGGGAGAGTAAAGGATTAGACAAAATTTCCAGTGTCAAAGAGTATTAAAACCATTGGTTTTGATTAATTCAGTTCTAGTCCCTGCATGTAAAGAGCAGCAGGTGGGGAATCTGCTGAAATGAGAACACTTTCAGCGAGCAAGAAGGAGACCCAGCTAATCACAGCGATGCGCGTGCAGCACTTACAAACCCGTGGGCTGTCCAAGGTTAGCGCTGGGCAAGAGCAGGCAACCTCCAAAAGCTTTTGGGGAATTAAGTAGATATCCAGGGTGCACAGGTAGAGATTTCAGGTCCCATTACTGAAAAGTAGAGTTTTTGAAAGTAGTTCCTGATGGGGAATATAATTTGGGGTAGGCATCTCTCAGGTCAAGTTCTTTCAATTATATACCACAGACTTAGTGCTAAGCCTGAGCTTGTGTGAGCACTCAGCATGAGTGGAACAGCATCAGGAAGAAGTGTTCTTTTGTACCATGTATTAGTATCCCATGGGGATTTTTTCCTGAATACCAGTGTAAAAAATTGTTTTTGTGGTTGCGTATGTTCTGAGGGACAGGAGACATGGTTTTTAACTGGCATGTACTGATGCTCCTTTTTTATGCCCTTTGAATGCATAGAAACTTTTCCTATTTATTGCACTGTGGGATTCATTTGTGGTTTTCAGTTGTTGGTCGGGTTTTTTTAAGTTCATATAGCCAGGTGTACTTTTGCTTAACTTAGCAAAAAACAACATTTGCTTGTTTTCTATATTTGATTTGACATTTATTGCTGTTTGTGTTACTCAAGATGAGTTGTTGTGATAGCTGATTACATATGAAAAGTGTGACCTTTCATTTTTTCATCTCAGTGTTACACAGAAAAAGCGGGTTATGCTTACAGATAAGGATAATGGAAGAGGATTTCTGTGCAGTATCTCTAAAATAAACAGAAAATCCTAGAAACTGAAAAAGTAACTATGGCTAACTATTTACAAAAATTATAACTTAAAACATTCAAATTCACCTTTTTCTGAGATTTAGATACAGGCTTGCCAACATGAAAATTGATTACACTGCTAATTAGAATACCACTTAATAAACTGGTGTATAAAGTGACAGAATTTATGTACTGAGATAAAAGGGGTAGTTGTTTTCTCTACCTATAGCAAATCTGCTAAATATGGCTGAGATTTGTTACTCCACCTTATTGTTAAACAAAAGCCAAGTTTCAGGACATCCTCCCAGAGGTAGAAGTAGAGTAGGAGCAAATCCTGAGTAAGTTGAATTGTGCCTTTCACAGATGAAGGCATTTTTCACAGCACAGCTTATATCTTTCCAAAAGCCTGTAAATAAATGGAATACAGAGAATCACTGTCTGAAACTTTTGTACTATGAGTACAGCAGTCAGCCCCAGACAGTATTCCTAAAGCAGAAATGGAACCTTCCGGAGGCAGGTGAAACAGTTGCCTTGTACACATTTACCTAAATACACTCCTCCTTCTTCTGTGGTATGTTCGTCTCCTAATAGTGATGGCGTGGTTTTAAACCTCAGGGTACTTGTTATAAAAAAACTGTCCAGTATTGTTCAACTACCTATTTGTGGGGTAGCCTTATATTTAAATATGTAGCAAACATTTTGGATTTTGATGCTAAATTTTCAACCACATATTTCTTGTTGCTATTTTACTCACCAAAATCTCTTGACATTATCACACAGTTTTCATCATTATTCGCAAAATTGGGTTCGTTCGGAGCCCAGGCAACATAGTTCACCGGGGTCTGATCTAGCCAGCTGAAAGAAACAAGGTGACAGTGGCTGCTGGGCGAACATCTCTAGCAAGTGTTTAGTTACAAGGTCTGTTTAGGTAAAGGGCTAAGCAAGGTATTAGCAGTGACCAGAGGGCAAAGACTCTACATACACTGGAGAGGACATATCCACAGCACCGTGGCTGCTTCTCATGTTTAGTACTCTCATATTCAAGTCCCATCACCATCCCATTTTGCCAGAGGTTGGATAAACAATGTCATACTTGAAGGGAAATCTTCTTATGGTCTGGACAAGACTGAAACCCCAAGATCTGACCAGTGCACAGACTTCCCTTTCATCCCAGAAAGGTGTCCTCCTGGAAGCCTTCTACAAACAGATTTCTAAAAGAGGTTCCCTACCAGCAATTTCAGAAAGCTGTTGGGTCAGGTGTTGCTTACACTTCTTGCTTCCAGCTCACGTAACTTGAACCACTGGCATTAGTCTGATTAAACCCTTACATCCCCATTTTATCAAAACCTCCTGGGGTTTCTCTGTAGCCATTGTCGACCTGGTCAGAGTTAATCTCATCCTAAGGTTGATGTCTAAAGTGGATCAGGTGACTAACCTCCTCAAATTAGCTGCTTCTCCTCACTACCTATGAAGGGTTGCTTGGTGTTTAACTCCGTTCTCTCAGTGTAAGACATGAAGTGAAATTAATCTTAGCCATGAACTTCTAGTGGTTTTACAGTCCCAGATTTGGAGGCAAAACACATTGCTCTGCTTAAGTATGAGTATGGAAGAACTTAACACTTTTGATCTGAGACTTCTGAAAACTATCCAGAGGTCAGTTGCACAACAGTTACTAACTTGTAAAATGAAAACACACACAAATGCTCCCATAGAGTGAGATGAAGTTACCATCTTTTGTTGCCCATTGCCAGTTTTTCTTTACTCACCTGAATTTCTGATCAAAGCTGACAACTAAGCCAATGAAATATGATTCCATTCTGAGTTTTGTGTAAATCTAAAACAAAAGTGATTAACTGTTAAGCACTAAACAGTTCCTCAACATCAGGTAAAAATCTGGAAGCCCATTAACCATGCCTGTGATTTTTTTTTTTCCTTTTTTTTTTTTTTTTTTGTTTGTTTTCCCCTCAGGATTTAAGCCTCAGGCAAGAACATTGTAGGTTTGGACCCAGGTTTCAAGCAGGCAACAGTGATATGGGGAACAACCTGGAATGAGGAACCCGCTGGACAGGAAAGCAATAATCACTGTGCCAAACACTACATATTTTAGAAGAGATAAGCAACCTGGGCCTGAACTATCCTTTGCTGTGCCTTTAACATTTGCATGCCTTTTTTCTCTGCCTATTAAAACCAGTAGTAATTTCTTTACAGGTCCTGAACAAATATATTGTTATATAAATAAGTAATGTAGGACAACAGCTCAGGGCTCTATCCTAGCTAAATAGATAGGCTGTTCCCTTTATTTTATCAGCTGCTCTGCTTCAGAATTCAATGATAATTAATAGGCTCAGTGCTTACATATTTCCATAGAAATTGTCTTTTGCTTTCATTCTGAATGACAACAAGATCTGCAAAGTTCTTCTGACAAACTCCCCGTGCTTCTTCCATATGGACACGTTCTTTGCTGAAATAGTACTGTTTATCTTCATATATAATCCATCCATCATTAGTGGCTTGATATTCTGAAAGATAAAAAAATCATATATATATTACATTCATATCTGGTCTGCACAAAGTCGGAAAACTATACAGTAAACTTTTCTTTGAAAGCAGAAAAAATCCTACCAAGTTTGTAGTACAGTTCAGGTTTTACCAGTGTACCTGTAAAATAGAAGGTCATCATGAGCAACATTCCAAATACAAAAAAATCCAGAGATATTTGCTTTGTGTAGTTGCAAATGCTTTGTATAATAGAGAAAAAAAAAAACCAAACTATGAATTATCTAATGCATATTCAAGATTTTAGAGCACATACCACTGGATTAAATTAAAAAATATGTATAATTTAGAAACATTTATCTAGCGAAAAATATCTATCTTTAAAGAATATATACGAATCTCCAAAAGCACCGTTAAACAATCCAGGATGTGCAGTAAACACTTTGTAGATGAAACTAACATCGGTTTGAAAATCTATTTAGTATTTTTACTTGGCATGCTATATTATTATTTTTTTTTATGTTCATGGGACTAGAGCCAAACAACATAATCCAGCCAATATATTCAGTTCTCAAGCTTACCTACGTAGTAGTAAACTAGTCACAAGCTTGATGCTGGTATTTTATTAATACAACACATTATTTCCAGTGTCTCAATGCGTTCCTCCTATCCTGATGGCTTGGCTTTTACTAGGAAAGTCTGGTTTTAAGAGTCCTGGAGAGCCAGTAGATACCAAACCCAACTTTCTGATTACAGGATGGACCAGGAGGAAGCAATTAACCTGTTGCTATTCCCAGAGTGAACTATAGCCCCTCAAAGGTAGCTCTGCTTTCATTCGGATGCCTCTTATTTTGTTCTTCACAAGGACTACCAATTCTGTTCTTAGAGTTCTCCATTTCTTCTGTGGTTTGATGGAAAGGAACACATTATCAAAGAAATGACAGGAACAGTTTAGATAAGAAATCAGCAAACAAATGAAAAAGCAATTAAAATTCTTCTGTTGGGAGCTTTTAAACATTTTCTTCTTAAGTACTTAGTGAAGAATAGAACTAAAATTAGTCAAATATTTTCATGATGAATTGACATACTTTACCTCTTTTTGCTTTTATTTTTTAATCCTAATGTAACTATAACATTCCTTGTTTTTCAAAAAAATGGTGTATCTTAAGTAAATATGTGTCTTAAGTGACTATGAAGGAATTAACAGCTGAGCATCTCTCATGGTGATCATCACATAATTTAGATTCACAATAACAAGATCTAATTCTTTTATTTTTTTACTTTTGAAAGATCATCCAGGATCAAGATAAACTGATCAGACTCTATGTCATGGTTTCTGAACTCCTCCTGAGTAATCTCACCAAGAGCAGAGCGCCACATCTGTACAAAGCAGCGTGCTCAGTGCACCAGAAAAGGCTGCACAGGATGTACTGCTTTGAACTGGTATACGGAAGTCAGTGTTCTGATGGTGCATTTGTATGACTAATCTACCCACAAGGGAACAGTGATTCTTCCTTTTCAGTTAAGCAATTTTTCAGTGTTAGCACGGTGCCTTATTTGCTGTTGAAGGGTAATGGTTTGTTGGCAGAGTCATCAAATATTAGATATAGTCAGTGTTTTTTATACAACTGCTTCTCCCTTCCCCTCCCTATTGTGCCTCCTACTAGTTCCCTGTGTGCATCCAACTTTCTTTTCATTTCAAGAAGCTCTTAAGAATCTCCTGCTCCATGGAGTTGCATACAAGTACTCAGTTTACAACCAGGAAGCAGGGATGTAAAGGTAGGACTGAGTAAGCAAAACAAGTTCTTTCATTATCGGTTGTCACTTAGGGTCCTCAACCCATGAAGACGGTGTTTCCCACTGGCAGGCACCCCAGTGCCTGTCCATCAGGTCCAGTTCATGCCCTGGCACCAGGTGCGGGAGGCCCAGCATTAGGGCCCTGCTTCCCAGGCAAAGCTGGTGGATGCAAGAGTCCTTCAAGGCTACACCAGCCTCTACTTTTGATCTCTTTTTCAGAGTTGCTGGTTCCTATAGCAATTGATCCCTCTCTTTGGTTCCCATTATTCATTTCACAGTGGAAGCAAAGCTTTTTTCTCTTTCGTACAGACAACTCTAGTGTCCTGCATCTTTGGCTCTCCTGGGTAAGCCTGAAGCAGATAGAAATACATGGAGGAGATAAAAGGAGAGGGGATAAGTACCTTTGCCTTGCAAATTTATTCAACCTATGGCAGAAAGAGATAAAGCCAGAGATAAAGTAATAGGGACATCTTTAACTTCCTGCATCTGAGTACAATTGAAATATCTCGATTCATTCCTCTTGCTTTATGTGTTGCCTTCACTGCAACTGGTTTTAAAATTAACAATTCCCAGTATCTTTCTTTGTTTCAATTTGTTTAAATCCATACAATTTGGTTTTGAACTTGCGTTTATTGCTCCAATTAAATGGGGAAGTAATCATACCTTTTTTTGTTTCACAAATCCAATTAAGTAAATGTTCACAGCGCAAGTCATTCCAGCGCATTTGGGGTGATCTATTAAACATAACACAATGTTCAAGTTCTTTGTGGTTGTTGGGTTCATCTTCATCCCAGTTCTCATAAATTACCTGTGTTGGAAATACATCTCAATTACCATGTGGTTCGAGCTGAGTGGAAGTAATTGAGATTGCCATCGTAACACAATTTCAGGATCTCATCATCTCAAGTACATTGTTTATAGGATCAATAGAAGTTCAGACAGGTCTGAGAGGGCTGTGAAAGTCATGCTGATCAGTTCACTTTTCCCATCACTCCCCGGAGAAGGTGTAAATATTACACAGTACAGAAAATTATGTTTCTGATGGAGGAAAAACTGATGGGCCAAGGGAGTCGTGTTCATAGAATCATAGAATCATAGAATTGTTTAGGTTGGA